CAGTCCCTCTGTTTGGGGCCCTGACTTCCTGCAACACCCCATCAAATTGCTTTCCCTTATATTGCTTGTCTCTGAATGGTTATTGTGACCTCCTTAATCATATTGTTCTTTTAATAGGCTAATGTCTCCCTTGAACTTTTATTTACACTGCTTATATGTGATAGCCTCAAGGACACTTCTGCTTGCTGTGGGCAGCCCTGGTTGAAGCAGGTGCTCAGCTTCAAATCTGTGGATGCTTTGGGTTTCCTCTGGATTCCTGCTCCAGCCTCTCTTTGTCCAGGCACTTTCTTCAGTTCTCGTTTGTTCCATTCCCTGCAGGTGCAGGGTCTCTGCCCTGTTGCTCTAAACAAGTCCAAGCCAGATTTCCAGCTCTGGACTCACCTGTCTGGCAAGGGAGGAAAGACAAGAATAAATATTCTTTGCTTTCATGAGCTCTGTAGATGGTAGTGATATAAATAAGCTTGATAATCGTATACAAAAAAAGACAAAAATGAGATTCATACTGACGTTGGGGGGTTGGTAAGGGTGTGATGATGATGTGACCCTACAAGATGAGGGAACTACAGGGTGAGGAAGTGAAGTTGACATTTCATCAAGAATGTTCCTCCATTCTGATCAGCAGCTAGGGTTGAGGCTTATGGTTTTCAGTTTAATGTAGCTGTGCTTTCAGTAGGCTCTACCCTCTCCCAGTAGACCTCCAGGCAGAGGGGTGCAGGAACTATCTTGTGAGAGCTGACTGTTACAGTTCAGGAATTTTGCAATCTGGTGGTCAAACACAGCCATTATTCAAGCTTAAATTATATGCCATTATCGTATAAATTATATAAAAATTATATATTGAAAACAAAGGTAATAAATACTCAAAAGCCATCAATTCCTAATTGTCTTACTACACTTTGCTGCTGTTCTTGAGGTTATTTTGTGCCTGTCTGGGGGAAATATCACATAATCATGTACTGCTGCATGTCTCTCCCAACTCCACATTCGGTGGCGTCAGCCATGAAATCAGCTGTGGTTGGAGTTTTTACACTGTGGAATTACAAATATTGAGAGTCAGGGCTTGATTTATTATCTTTTTGATTGTGTAAACTTAAGAATGGTTGAACCATGGAATGCTATGTAGTCATAAAAAGAATGAAATTATGTCCTTTGCAGCAACATGGATGCAGCTGGAGTCCATTATCCTAGGCAAATTAATGCAAGAACGGAAAACCAATACTGCATGTAACCTGTAATTGGGAGCTAGACATGAGTTACACATGGACATAAAGATGGGAACAATAAACAATGGGGACTATGAGAAGGGAGAGAGAGAGAGGGGGGCAAGGGCTGAAAAACTACCTATAGGGCATTATGTTCACCATCTGTGTGACAGGATCATTCGTATCCCAAACCTAAGCATCAGGCAACATGCCCATGTAACAAACCTGCATGTGTACCTTCGGAATCTAAAATAAAAGTTGAAATTATTTTTTACGAAGATGTTGAAGAAAAATGTTAATGCAGATTAAACATGTGTCTACAGTTGTTAAAATGTGAATAATACAAACACCAAGAGAATATTCTAGTTTTCAAAAACTATTATTTGATTCAGTACAAGGAAGTCATTCACATCATTGGTGAATGAGTGAAGCTCCAATATACTTTTTCATTATCTTTATTTTGCCTTACTTATTAAAGTAAATGAAAACATCAACCAATGCTCATGGTGGAACTACACTCAAAGATACAGTTATAAGATATTTACCAGCATACAGCTGTCAGGAGGCCACAATTAACTCTAAAAATGCAGTTCTGATTAGCCAGCACTGCCCTCTGTGGAAGGGAGGGAGCTTTTGTTTATTGTACAAAATCTTAAAAATGTATTGATAAGCAAAAATAAAGTAAAAAGCCCCTGTAATTTCTCTACCAAGAGATAACATGACACATATGCATATGCTTTTTTTAAACAAATATCGAATTATAGCTATAAAGGGAAGACTTTTTAAAATCGTGTGTGTGTGCGCGCGCGCGTGCGCGCGTGTGTGTAAAAGAGCATTTGGAGAGCATCTTTCCACGTTATTCAGTTTTCTCCTAAAATCTCATTTGTAATTATTCCATAGAAGGCTGTTGTACTGATTATAACTTATTTCACCAGTCCTCAGTGATTGAACATTTGGTTCGTTCCCAATTTGTGGCAATTAAAACTACAGCCTTAGGAAAATAAATAAATGAAACAAGTGACAAATAAAAAAGACAACCCTTACAAAGCACTTCTTTGCAGCTAAATAATGCATCCTTTGTTTTCCTTAGGAGAAATTTCTAGGAAAAAGGTACACGGATGACTAGGCCTTTTCCCCCTCTTTTCTCCTTTTCTTTCTTTAGGGAATGCCATCCCAGTCCTATACTAAGTCTTTAAAAGACCTTCCCTGATAAACTGGAAGCTCCATGTGGGCAGGGACTGTGTCTGCAAATTCATCCCTCTAGCTTCAACCTGTGGCCCAGTGCCTGATGTAGGGACATATTTAATGCATATTTGCTGAATGTAAGAAGGAAAGAGGAAGGGTTGATGTATTAGTTTGCCAGGGCTAACATAACACAGTATCACAGACCAGGTGGTTTCAACAGCAGAAATTTATTTCCTCACAGTCCTAAAGGCTGTAGTCAAGGTGTCAACAGGCTGGTTTCTTCCAGGTTTCAGGTTTCTTCTGTCCTGGACTTGTAGATGACCAGTTTCTCCCTCTGTCTTCACATGGTCGTTCCTCTGTGTCTATGTCCTTATCTCTTCTTCTTAATAAGGATGCCAATCATACTGGATTAAGACCCATCCTAATGGCCTCCTCATGTTAACTTAATTGCCCTTGGAAGATTCCTTTTCCAAATACAGTCACATTTTGACAGGACTTGAACATATGAATTTTGCAGGGGATGTAATTTAGCCCACACAATTGTGCAGATTGCCATGTGGGGTTGTGGTAAGTTAGAGTCAAAAAGGATGGATGTCTTTGGAGACCAAAGACATAGAATTGTATTCACATTGAGGTCATCTCTTTTCAGAATTTACTGATTGGATGCTTTCCTCGCAATTGATTCAAAATTATGAGCTTTTAGTGTACTTTAAAACAGTGGTTCCCCTAGCATGTGGGGTAACTCAGGGGAGGCAAAATTTTACCTCTACCCTCTTAGAGATTTTTTCAGTTGTGGGGTACTGAGAATTAAATTGACATAAGACAGATCAACAGGAGAAAAGCATACAAATTTATTTAATCCATGTTTTATGTGGCACAGGAGCCCTCATAAGAAAATGAAGGCCCAAAGATGCAGTTAGGGTTGAACACTTACATACTGAATGGAACAAAGAGTAGTAAATTATGAAAATGAGAGAAAGCAAGGGGCTTGGACTAGGGTAGTTACTTGGGTGAAATGGCCAGGAAGATAAGGGTTAGTGAAATTAGATTTGTGCTATAGTTTGGATATGGTTTATTTTCACCAAATCTCATGTAGAAATTTGGTCCCCAGTGTTGGAGGTGGAGCCTGATGGGAGGTGTTTTGGTCACAGGGGTGGGTCTCTTGTAAATAGATTAATGCCCTCCCTGAAAGGTGGTTGGGGGGGTACAAGTTAGTTCTCACTCGATTAATATCCACAAGAGCAGGCTGTTAGAAGGAGCCAGGCACTTTCCCCTTCTCTCTTGCTTCCTCTCTCACCATGTGATCTCTGCACATGCCAGTTCCCCTTCACCTTCCAGCATGAGTGGAAGCAGCCTGAGGGCCTCACCAGAAGAAGATGCTGGCATCATGTTTCTTCTACAGTCTGCAGAATCAAGAGCCAAATAAACCTCTTTCTTTATAAATTACTCAGCTTCAGGCATTCCTTTATAGCAACTCAGAATGGGCTAAGACTGTACAGATTTCCTTCAGCCTCAACTTCTTATCCTTGAAGATAAGAATAATGCTTCCCTTCTGTCATAGGGAGGACGTCTTTCACATGGGAATTTCATCTCCTGCTTTTAAGAAACTGAAGAAAGGTCAGAGTGATCTTCTTGCACCTGCTATTGTTCAAGTGCCTTTAACTCAAAATAATCAATATGCCAGAGCAAGATATTTTGGGGTGTAATGCTTTTAACTCCTTCGGTAATTGCAAGAAATCTACGAGTCCATAGGTGTATTGGATTTTATCTGTAAATTAATATTAAATAATACAAACTGTACATAATGAAAACCACAAGTTAAAAAATATAAGCAGATGCTCTTATAAGTATTACCATCCAAATTCATTTAAAAGCAGTATCGAGACACTTCTGGTTTCTAGTTCAATATGAAAAGAGCTTGGAAGTCATCATTCTCATCCTCACAACAAGAAACAAGCTGAACAAACCAAAAAATCAACAATTCTTCTGACCAGGCACGGTGGCTCATGCCTGTAATTCCAGCACTTTGGGAGGTCAAGGTGTGGAGGTCACTTGAGCCCAGGAGTTTAAGATCACCCTAGGCAACACAGTGAGACCTCATCTCGATTTAACAATATTAGTAAATAATAAAAATAAATAACAAAACAAAACAGTTCTTCTTAGATCCATCAGAGAATTGAGGTCACAGGGCAAATCATCTCCCAGAAAATTTGCAAGACAGGAGGATGTAGAGAATCACAACTTACCAAGAACAGAAGCCCAGGAATAAAAGGCCAGCACTGGAGGCAATACCAGTAGGAACACAAACGGTAATTGACAAATTGCTGTAGCCTCAATGTGAATGAGCTTGGGAGTTAAAAACTCTGGGGGACCCAGTCTTAGGAGGGTTCCCACACTTTTCTTGAGTCTTACCTCCAAGAGTCTCATCAAACTCTCAGGTGAAGGTCAGAGAGAAACTTCCCCTCATGTGTGGGTGAGGGAACTATTTTTTTAAAATTTTATCTTTTAATTTTTATTTATTTATTTATTTTGAGGCCAGGTTATAAGACTATTTTTGTATTTTTGGTAAAGACAGGATTTTGCCATGTTGCCCAATAAGGCTGGTCTTGAACTCCTGGCCTCAAGAACGGATCCTCCTGCCTCAGTCTCCCCAAGTGCTGGGATTACAGGCATGAGCCATCACATACAACCGCATGGGAGAACTATTTTGCAATATACTAGAGGCTTTGTTCTCTTTAAAAAAAGCTTGCCTTCAAGGGAAACTATTTTACCAGGGCCTAGCCTAATTGGGTTTTGCCAGAGCCTAATCAACCTGGGGAAGAAAAATACTCAACTCCAATCTTCTAGGTTCCTCTAAGGGAGGAGCATGGGGGAGAGCTAAGAAGCACTTGTAAAGGTCACAGCCCAGGGACACAGGCTCACCACAAGCTGAGACTTAATCAAAGGACTGTAGAATGTGTCCCCCACCCCACACCTCACTACCACATCAATCAGGCTCCTATAAGATAATCAAGGGTTTACAGCTAAAAACAATGTTGAATGTATAGTAGCTTATTGCTAAAGTATTTTCATAATGTGGGATTCTGCCACTATCATATGGAGGTTCAGTAAATCATTTTAGTGTAAAAAATACTTAGAGATTCTGAAACCACTGTTCTAAAATAGAGCTACCTAATTGCACCCGAGGATAATGTCAGGTCTTTAAGAGAGAAAAATGGAAACAATCTGTAGTGAATTTAGTGCAGATAATAAAGCTTCAAATACAAATAAGGTGATGTTTATGGAGGACAAACTATAAAGATCCAGGGAAAGATGACTCATCTTTATTGAATATCATGTTTAAAGTGTGTCTTCAAAGAAACCAAGCTTCATGCTAGATTTGAGTCAAAAACAAGCCAAAGTCACTTCTTTACTCTAAAAATCAATAGCTGCTGGGAGGAAAAGGGATTCAATGTTTTTTTTCTTCACCTGGAGCTTTTCAATGTACATAAAGAGGACGGAAAAATAAATAAAAATATGCAAACAAAAACCTACCACCCCCACAACATGGGTGATATAATTTACAACTAAGAATTATTCAAACATAAACTTTATGTGCTCCACTGCATTTCTTACCAAAAATGTCATTAATGACTTCCAGTCAGCTAAGGTTAAAGGTTACCCAACAGAAATTTAAAGACAATCTTAGTAAAAACAAGTTAGCAACAGAAGGAAGTTTATCTTTGATATCTAAACAGGACATAATTAAATTTAGTCTTAATGAGACCTGGCTCTTGGTTTAGTTCCTTTCCTTTTCAGTCCAAAGAAAGGCCAATCCTGGCCAAATAAAATATGTATGGGTCTAGAGGCAGCTTCCATTCTGTGCAAGACTCTTTTTACTTGTACATTCCCTTCTTCACTAAGGCTGGGTGAGTTTTGGATCATTTTTATTTTATCTGACAAATGAGAAATTTATTTTCTAATTCTACAGAGACATTATTTCATGTAATCCAAGATTACATGTATTATTCATGTCTTTTTGTAGTCAGGGACATTGAGACTCAAAAGCCTAAAAAGACTTGTGCAAGGTCAGATTAATAAACATCACAACCAGAAACCAAACTCAATGTAATCTCTCTCTGCAGTTTCTGCTAGTTCCCACTAATATGGACAAAACAGGGAAACACTGGGTAGAAGAGGATGGTTCCCCGGCAAAAGCCCTACCCTTAAGCTTGGAGACCTGCAGCCCTAAATGGGAACAGGCATTTCTGTTTTCCTGCCCAAAAAGTGACCTTTTGGTCTGCCACCACCCCCCATCCTACATGCATATAAACCCCGAACTCCAAGCTCCAGGAGCAGATAAGCAGACGAGAAGACAAGCAGATAAACAGCAGAACAATGTGGCACAGAAAGAGAGAAGAGGAGCACCTGAACGCTGAGAGGAGTTCAGCTGGGGGTGGTCAGAGAGGAGTTTGGCTCCTGGATGGCCAAACTCCATGGTAAGATTATCTTCCTACTCCATCCCCACTTCTGGTTCCACATCCATCCCCCTGAGAGCCACCTTTACCGCAATAAAACCCCTGCATTCATCCTTCAGGTCCATGTGCGACCTGATTCTTCCAGGATGCTGGACAGGAGTTTGGGATACAGAAAGCTGTCACACTGGCCCTCTGTCCTTACAGAAAGGCAGAGGGTCCACTGAGCTGGTTAACACTCAAGCTACCCGTGGACAGATAGGCTAAAAGGGCACACTGTAACACACACCCACTTGGGTTCCTGCACTTGTCCAGCTGCCTGCTCCCCATCCCGTAAGGGGTTTGAGCAGTGATGGTGACCAAACAGATGAGCCACACCCCTGTCAAACATCAGGCGAAGGGGTTTGGGGAACTCTCCTATTTCACCACCACGCTGCTTCCAGAATGACCAACAAATGATCCAAGAGCTTGGAAAATATGGATTAGCACTTTTTCACCTTCTTACATGAAAAGAAAGTTAAATAAAATGTAAGCCTGACCATGTGAATGGGAAATAACCAAATGCGTGGAATGAGCTCTTTCTATTAGTGGGATTAGTAAAAGGTTCCTAAAAGGGGCCACTGGAAGTGAATCAGCGAGACCTGGAATGATGAATGTGTGACTAAAAACCACCATTTGTTCAACACTGGGAAATGTGAACACTGCTGCCTAAGGAGTTTGTATTCAATAAAATGCTCTCTAAAGAAATAGTTTTAAAGTCGGTCCTCGGGACAGATGATCACCTTAAAGCAGAGCCCACAGCCCTCATCCAGACCACAAAATGGGAGAGGGGCTTTGCCAGGTTGCAGAAGCATGCTGACTCCAGCCACCAGGTGGGCAGGGCTGCAGGCCAGATAGCAGGGGAGCTCCAAAAGCTGGTCAGGAGTTACAGAAGGGCCCCTTATTATCCAAAATCCAGGATATTCTGACTCTGGAGTCTTTGAGGACTCCCATGCTTGTTTTTGTCCATCTATGGGGTAGTGGTTTGGGGAAAGGGGATGACAAGGCAGTACTGAGTATAGCTGACAAAATCCCAATCCCCTGCAGCTCACAGACTTTCGCACTTGTATTGCTTTCTATGCCCACTATTAGGGTAACCTCCCGGGTGAAACCGTCCTTGCCGCTTATCCATAGCCAGGTAGGGAGGCCGTAGAGTTGCTTAGGCAACTGGGTTTTCCACAAGGCAGAGCGCATTGACATTTAAAATTTTTCTGATTTGAGATAATCTTAAACTTACAGAAAAGATGCAAAATTAAGAAACAGTTACCAATATATATCTTTCACTGACCTTCCCTTAAGGTTAAGGTTAATGTCTTACCGTCTAACCATAGGACAATTAGCAAAACCTGGAAATTAACATTGTTACAATACTGTTAACTATACTGTGGACCTTTTTAAAATTTTATTGGGTTTCTTACTAATATCCTTTTTCTGGTCCAGAATCCAAGTCAGCATCCCATGCTGCACGTGGTTTTCATTTCTTCTTAGTCTTCAATCCGTGACAGTTTCTAAATTTTTCTTTGTCATTCATGACTTTGATACTTTTGAAGGTTACTGTTCAGTACTTCAATTTAGGTTTGCCTAGCATTTTCTCATGATTAGATCAAACTAAAACATTTCTGGCACGAATATTACAAAGTGGTGTGACCTTCCTTCTTGGTGCATCACATCAGTGGGTACGTGAGAATATGTCTTCTTTTTGGTGATATTCACCTTGATTCTTGGTAAAGGTAGTGTCTGCTGCGTTTCTTTGTTGTGAAGTTATGGTATTCCCCTTAGAAACTAAGAAATATCGGTAAAGATATTGAAGACTTTGAAACTGGTGTGGTAAAGACTTTGAAACTCTGCAACTATTCTGTTTCTCATCAAATTTTCACCCACTAATTTTAGCATCCATCAATGGATCTTGCCTGCAACAATTATTACGGTAGAGCTCGCTTCATGGTGAGTTTCCAGTTTCTGCGTTCCTTGTACATTTATTAATTGGAATTCTTTCTTAAGGATGAATTATCTCCCTTTATTTATATTTTACTCATTCAATTATTTATTTATGTCAGTATGGACTCATGGATATTTAACTTTTTTCTGAGGCCTACAATGAAATACTATCATTGTTTATTTTAGTCCTTGAATTAGCCCTGCTTTGGCCATTAGTTGCCTCCTGTGTCCTTTTGACATGCCTCCATTATTTTTTGAGCAGTTTCTTGCTTGAATTTTACAGTTTGCCTCTTTTCAGCATATGCGCCTCAATGTGGTGGCCTTGAAGTCCCATCTGTCCTGACCAAGAAGCTGGCTTACCAAGAGTGATCACCACCAAGGGTCCTTCAACTTCACAGGGTATCCGACCATCATATTCCCTGGGCCCACCTCCTGAGACTCTGATTTAGCGAGTCTGATGTGGGCTTATATCTACATTCTGTAAATAAACACACAAAAAACTCATTAGGTGCTGATTCTAAAGCTCATCCGTGTTTGGAAATCACTGTTCTCCTTCATGGGCTATGGGAGTATGAACCTTATTGGCCTCTACTGTGCTACTCAAAGTGTGATCCGTGGACCAGCAGCATCAGCATCACCTGGGAACACGTTAGGCTGGGCACAGTGGCTCACTCCTGTAATCCCAACACTTTGGGAGGTCGAGGTGGGTGAATCACCTGAGGTCAGGAGTTTGAGACCAGCCTGACGAACATGGTGAAACTCCACCTCTACTAAAAATACAAAATTAGCCAGATGTGGTGGCGCATGCCTGTAATCCCAGCTACTTGGGAGGCTGAGGCAGAAGAATTGCTTGAACCCAGAAGGTAGAGGTTACAGTGAACCGAGATTGTGCCATTGCACTCCAGCCTGGGTAACATGAGCAAAACTCCATCTCAAAAAAAAAAAAAAAAAAAAAAGGAAACACAAGGTTTGGGTCTCTCTGACTTGAAGCAAAATCTCTGGGGACAGAGCCTAAGAGTCAACATTTTAATGAGCTCTTTAGGGAATTCTTATGTATGCTAGTGTGAGGAGCACTGAAACGTGCTATGTTGTAATTACTAAAAACCACAAGCAGGCTAACAAAATTCATCCCTCCAGTCTAAACTCTACCTGAAGCAACTACATCAAGTTGATTGCTCTTTTTGCCTTGGATGTATTTACCTAAAGATTCCCATAATTCAACATTCTCCTTTTCTTGGGTATCATCCAAACAGTTCCAAACAGATTACTTGGTTCCTCTATAAGGATGTCAAATTACAAGGAAAAAAAGTGGATTTTTGTTTGTAAAGAGTAATATAAATATTCCACCACAGAGCACCATTTCCTTTTTCTTTTCATTTCTAGTGTCCTTCTCACAGATGAAACAATGCCAAAAAATTGAAACAAAACAAAAATAGCAAATATGTTAATTAAGTTGTCATCTAATTTAAACTCCTTTTGTATGAGAATCACTCTTCAACAGACATATATAAGAAGTCTTTTTTTTCTGTTGTGTCTTTATCTATTTTGCATACTATTATCTATCCACAGCAAACCCTGCAGTAAATTACAATAATCCAGTTGGGGCAGTGCACACTGTGCAATTATGCTATCTTATTTAGTATTTTAAAAGGTGTTATTTGCTTCATTGTTAAAGGTACATGTTTATAAAGAAAAGAAAAGACAGAAATGAGTATGTTGGCTAAGTTTACCCACAGTAGCCTGACTCAATCAACCAGTCAGTGAAATGCTTTAAAAATCAGGTTTTTGGTGTGATATGTGACCAATCATATACATTATTTTATTACTGCATGATCAAACTGATTTATTCAATCATGTATCCAACAAACACCCATTCTGCCAGGTACTGTGCTGAATCTAGGGGAAATAAAGATGAATAAAAGAGTCTAATAGAGATGGAGAAGGTTGCAGTGACCACTGCTCTAGTCTCTATGGCTATGATGACAACACGTTACTTACCCTGTCCTCTAGACACAGTCTAAGTTGTTCTCTCTTGGAGCACCATGGGCACAACCATTCTCTTTCAGTAGTGGAGTTATACAGTGCCTCAAATGGATGTAAACGTGTATGAAGAGCTCAATAAAGCAATAGTTTTAGGCCGGGCACAGTGGCTCACACCTGTAATCCCAGCACTTTAGGAGGCCAAGGCAGGTGGATCACTTGAGGTCAGGAGTTCGAGACCAGCCTGGCCAACATGGTAAAACCCCATCTCTACTAAAAATACAGAAATTAGCCGGGTGTGGTGGTGGGTGCCTGTAGTTCCAACTACTCCAGGAGAACTGCCTGAAACTAGGAGGCAGAGGTTTTCAGTAAGCCGAGATTGCACCACTCTACTCCAGCCTGGGCAACAGAATGAGATTCCATCTCAAAAAAAAAAAAAAAAAAAAAAGAATCGCCTATTTTGTGCTGTGTACTTTGCTAAGCCTTTTAAGTGTTTATCCAGTGTCATCAGTGCAGTGCTGGTAAATGGATTTCTGGGGGAAAGGGCCTGATATACAGTTTTTGATGATTTCTGTAGGGTAAATACTCTCATCGCAGCTAATTTCAAGATACCCAGTGTTTAAAAATTGGCTTATAAAATCCTGAAAATTTAACCATTGAGTCTGCCCATGGTATGAGCTAGCTCCAGTGCACCACCGAATGTAATGCTCACAACAAGCCTATGTACTGGGTGTTAGTATTACTACTGTCATAGCAATGTTATCTGTGTTTTACAGATAAGAAAACCAAGGGCACAAATAAGTAATTTGTTTAGGGTCATACAGCAAATGGTAAAGTTAGGATGTAAACCTGGGCACTGTGAGGCTAAAGCTAGTATTATACTGACTGACATTATACTCCTTATGTGTAATAAGTATGGAATAAGATGAAAAGTTATTAAACTTCTGATTTGCATTTTCCAGATGATTCAAAAGCAGTCCTTCACATTGGAAAAGGAAGCCATTGCTCTTTTGGCTGTGAGACCTTTTCCTTCTCAAGTTCAAGTTGTATTTATCCTGTGGCTCAGCGCTAACCCATTCATTGAAGAGTTTGCTTTTCACTTTAAACTGTTCTTATTATCCATATAGGCAAACGTTTTCCATGAGGACGAATAGTAATCACAACTCTCATTTACTGAGTACTTGAAATGTGCTAGGCACTCTATACTCTGTGTGTTTCATTTTATTTAATCCTCACAACCACCCTGTAAAGTAGGCACTATTACCATTCCCATGTTACACACAGGAAACTAAGGCACAGAGGAGGTTAGGAAAAAAAAAAAAAGGCCCAAGCCACACAACTAATGACCATCAGAGCCAGGATTTAAGCCCCAGGCATGTTTTTAGAGCCTGAACTCTTTAACTATTATGTTATCCTAGTCAGTCCTGAAACACTACAGACAGAGGTGCTGGCTAATTTTATGTCCCAGCAGCCCAACTCCTTGTTATATTCCTTGAAGTTCTTTTCTGGTACATTTTTAAAGTCTCTCTTCCTGTCCTGTCCCTGGTCACCTCTCCTTTCTTACCTACAGCAGGTGTTTGCTGTGGCCAGAAGAGCTGGATGCCTCCTCATGCCCTTGCGGCCTCTCCAAATCTGCTTTGCTGTAAACCTGTCACGCCCTTTGATGTTAACCATTCTCGGAAGACGGCACTCATAGAACTCAGTAATGGGAACTGAAGTTTCAAGTTTCATACAATGGGGGGAACACATGAGTCACTGTGGGTGGCTAGCCCACCCCTGACATTTGTGGGGCCTGGGGGCAACAATGCTAATGGAGGCCCACATACCATTTGTCTAAATATTTAGAATTATAAATCAAGCTATTAAACTGTTAAACCAAATCTACTCTGTTCTTCATAATGCTTCAGGGAGCCAGGCTGGAATTCAGAATTATTGAACTCCTCAGAGTTTCTCATGGTGGGTCAGGGAGAACTGGCCCTTAACCAAAGGCCTGTCCCATTTTCTCCCCACCCTCAGCTCTGTCCTTGCACACATGAATGTGGACATTCCAGCCCATACATCCAAGCTAGGTCCCCCTCCCCAGCAAGCAGCTGCCCCTTGGCCACCCCTTGAGTCTAGGGGTGCAAACACTGGAGATGTGGCCTGTCCCCAGGAAGATGGACCTAAGGAGGAGGTCTGCTTAGGCCTGGATGTGCACTCTGGGTATTTGGGAAGGAGATTCCAGGGCCCAGGGGTTGGAAGGGATGCCCTGAGGCTAAAAGAGAACTCAGCACAGCCAAGGCTCAAGTCCACACCTGACTCCTATAGATCTCGGCTTGGGACTGATGGTGAGTATGCTGTTCCTGGAGTACCACTTTGAACCTGTGGGCGTTAGGTTTGAATGACTCAAGTATTTGATAAATGGATGAAAGGAGGTGAAGTAGTAATCTAATATCTATAAAACTGCCACCATTATGAGGTGACAGCTACATGGCAATGGCTAACAGTCACCTTTTCAGCCCCAATGTCCATAACACCAATGTGAGAGCTAATGCAGTATCACCATTTGGCTAATGGCTTATAACAAACATGACATTCCAAAAAGAACTGCAGTTTAATTGAAGGGAAGACTCCCAGCACTTTCTTATATACAATCTGAGTTTACTGAGTGCTACCTCTGTCCAAAGCTCCTCTTGAATAGGCAAATTTGGGGATAATCTTACATTAGTTCACTGAGTATGAAAATGGTTGATGTCCTAAGAGAAAAGATTTGACACTTAAATTTCCTAAATCTCAGCAGAGAAGAAGGAGGAGAAAAGGAAGAGAAGGAGGAGGACTGGGAGGAGGAGGAGAAGGAGGAGGAGTGGGAGGAATGGGAGGAGGAGAAGGAAGAGGAGGAGGAAAAGGAGGAGAAGAAGAAAGCCAGTACCTTGGCACAAAGTGCCTGAGGGAGGGAGCCCAAGATCATGGGACACACTTGAGGATGGGACCGGCCACCCTGTCAGGAGGTCTCTATGAACACACTGGGCCCAGCTCATTCTCTCACTGGCTCCGAAGCTCTCAAACTTCCCAGCACATTAGACTCACCTGGAGGGCTTGTTAAAAGGCAACAGAGCGTTGGGTCCTGTGCCAAGAGTTTCTGATTCAGTAGGTCTGGGGTGGGGTCCGAGATCCTGCATTTTAGCAAGTTCCCAGGAGATGCTGATGCTGCTAGTCCAGGGACACCACTTTGAGAAGCTCTGCCTTAGGGTTTTCACAGCCACTCCTACACCATACTCACAGCTCAGCTTCCTCTATAACTGCACCCCCTACCACCTTCCTAATTACATAATTGATATTCCATCTTCACACCAAGTACCCACATAAGAGATTAAACTCAACAGTGTAAGCCATTTGCACAACAAAAAAGAAAAAGCACATGCAGTTTCCCAAGGTATTGGTAAATTCCAAAAGTCTTAACATTAATAACATATCCTTTTTTTTCCTACAATCAGACAAACACCACCATAAACACTCTAT